TGTTGACCAGGATGGTCTCGATCTCTTGACCTCGTGATCCACCCGCCTCGGCCTCCCAAAGTGCTGGGATTACAGGCTTGAGCCACCGCGCCCGGCCAATTGAGGATGTCTTACAGGATAAGTCAAATTCTACTGGATTGACAAGGTAGAGAGTTTATTTTAGAAGAGACTTCAGATGCGGATGGACTTGGTACATCCTTCAGGGTGGGTATGATGTGGTAAATTACAGTGTCTCCAGATAGTTAGAAAGGCATTGTACTGGCATAATAATACCTTAAATGCCAGTCCAAGGAATTTAGATTTTTCTTGTTTATAGTAGGTAAACGATATGTTTAGCAATGATTTCTAGCACACAGTAGTTGACTAACAGTTTTCTTTGAGTGGTAGAAGGATGTATGGAAGCTGCTCTCATAGAGGACTGCACTTATATTTTTGTGTGCTGCCTCATTACTGTCACTAATGTGTTCTCGGTCTCTACACATTCCAAGAGTTTTTGCTGTTTTTGTTTTTTTGAGACGAAGTCTTGCTTTGTTGCCTGACCAGACTGGAGTGCAATGGCACGATCTCAGCTCACTACAGTCTTCTCCTTCTGGGTTCCGGTAATTCTCTTGCCTCAGCCTCCCAAGTAGCTGGGACTACAGGCGTGTGCTACCATGCCAGCTAATTTTTGTATTTTTAGTAGAGGCGGGGTTTCACCATGTTGGCCTGGCTGGTCTCGAACTCCTGACCTTAAGTGATCCGCCCACCTCAGCCTCCCAGAGTCCTAGGATTATAGGCATGAGCCACTGTGCTCAGCCTCACAAGAGTTCTTGAATGAAAAAGTGTGGAGAATATTGAGTTAAGCATCTCCAAAGGAAAGAAAAAAATGACAATGTGACAGTAGTGAATTAAATTATCATCAGAGATTCTTCCAACATTGTTTAAGGAATAATATCTTAAGCCTGAATTTTAAAGATAGTTTTGAGTAGATTAACTTCCATTGGACATCCTGTAACATATGCCTTTCTTTGGTGTCCTGTGCAACTGCAAGTAAATATCTTTTTAAAAATATTTTAGGTAGTGGAATTACCCCATCACCTTTGTGAGATGTTCCTGGTAGCTCCACGTGGATTTGAGAAAGAAAACTTTATTAACTGAGTTAGTACCCAGGTACCATTAAGAGTCACTCAGTTGTTTCAAATTTTGTTTCTAGTTTTGGCAAGATCTGAGAGTGTATTTTAGACTGGTAATAAAGAAGACTTAATTTTGCTGGGCTTGGGTACAAATTACCTAATCTCTGTTGTGACAAAAGACAGAAAACTAATTAATTGTAAATCCAATTTTTTGAACCCTGTAAGGATTTTTAGGCTTTTAGCTGCCAAATAAATAACAAGGGTAGGCCTCTCAAATCTTTCTCAGTGGTGGAGAAAAGGTGTCAGCACCATTGACACTACCATTTTTACCCCACTCTTTCCACTTGTTCTTGGATTCTTTCTTTGCCTCTTGCTTCTTAACCTTTGAGTGACATCAAGCACTGTGTACTTGCACTGTCACTTTATCAACTATGGGAAGTAACTTTGAGCCTCTCTGCTTATGACTGGGGTTTGTTGACATTTTGATCAGTTCTAAAAGACATTAAGAAATTGATTTAATTCTTACAGTAGTACAGAATTCAGTAAATATTTTTGGAAAACTAGTAGTACTGTGAAATTGAGCTGTGTACTATTTTAGTCACTGTTACTAATATGACATTTTATATAATTATAACATGCTTAAAACTTTCAGAGTGCTTTTTACATATATGGACTAGTTGACCTTAAAGTGCTTATTAACCTAAAGAGAAAAATACATGTTCTATTATCTTAAAAATAACTTGAAGTTTTGAAAGAATAAATGATTTGCTCATGATTTGATGAACTTAACTTCCTGTGGTATAATTGGACTAAAAGACATGTTTTATGATACTCGGGTACTTCTTTTTGGGAGTGAACAAACAGAATGTTTGTATTGCAATCATCTTCTCAGCAGTTTCATCAAATATGATTTTGAAACAGACATTTTTCTTTATTCTCTGTCAAAATTTGGTGTACTTTATATGACCTGATTACCATTAGAAATAATCAGAAAAGTGGTGTGGATAAAAAGTTCTAAAAAATAAGTGCCAATCAGTAGAAACCTACCACATTAAAAAAAAAAAAATAGACATGTAGACTTTCTAAGTAATTTTAGATATAAAAATAGCACAAATTAATTTTTATGGCATAGATATTTACTTTGATAGGACTGTGTTTTGTGTTTTGCTTAACAGTATTTCATGTTTAGGATTTTAGGCCTGTGTTAATCAAGGTGTCCTTTCTCTAAATAGGAGAATGTACTACTCATCACCTCCCACCTGTGAAAGCCCCACCTCACACAAAGAAGAAAACAACAAATCATTGTTTTCTTTGTGGAAAGAAAACAGGACTGGCTACTAGCTACGAATGCAGGCAGGTTGGCCAGCTGGAGAGGCTGAGATGCTCTCTCTGTGGTAATCCAGCTTGGGGATTATGCAAAATAAAATATTTAAATTGCCTATTGATAACATCATTAAGATGATGTTCAAATAGCTATCTTCAGTTGAACTAATCGGCTGAAGTAAAGAACAAGTAGATAGCTCATGGGTTTCCAAAAGACAAAAACAGTTCCTTCCTTGTTCTTTAAATTAGGGGGTTTAAACCAATCTGAGAGTGTACCTTTTTTGTGTTATGATGAGCCTCCTTGGATTTCGTTTGAATGGCACCTTGGAAGAGCCTCTCCCTGAATATCTGTTTAAAATTTAACAAAAAGAAATTAGAAGTCAATATAAAATAGATGAATAGTATATTTCCAAAAAGGTATGAAATTTTTCTTACTCTAATTATTTATTTCATTAGTATTGATTGATATTCTTCAGGATAGTATATGATATTATCTTGTCTCTCTGCCCTTAGATTGAGGCCAGGCTTGAAAATAACTGCTGCTGTGGCTTTTTTTTTTTTTTTTTTT